ATCCAAGGGCTGGAGCAGCTCTGGAGCCAGGCTGGGAGAGTTGGGGTGTTCAGCCTGGAGAAGAGAAGGCTCCAGGGAGACCTTAGAGCAGCTTCCAGTGCCTGAAGGGGCTCCAGGAAAGCTGGGGAGGGGCTTGGGACAAGGGCAGGGAGGGATGGGATGAGGGGGAATGGATTAAAACTGGAAGAGGGGAGGTTTAGGTTGGACATTAGGAAGAAAATCTTTAGTACATAATTTATCCCCAAAAATACCTGAATTAGCCTAATTGCACACGGGACATCATGGGATGTCCCTGGGAGGCAGGTGGTGAGACACCCCCCCCCCCATCCTACCACCACCCAAATAAAGCCCTTCCCCAACTCAGAGACTGCACCTTTGGTCACAGGCTATCAGGACATCACCAAACCCAGTGAGGATTCCTCCAAGATAAGGCACAGGAATCACATGGGCAGGTGAACTGAGGAAATCTGCTGAGAACACCCAGGAACAGAATTAACAGAAAAGCTCCAGTTGGACAGAATTGCAGCTTGTTGAGGCTACGAGTGCAGAAGGCTGTTCTGCAACTCACTTGTGGCCCTGCTTCTAAATGAAAAATATCTGTGGTGTTTCTAGCTAACTGTTTTGTTTACATGGTTTTACATGGTTTTAATTTACTGAAAGCAAAGTAGCCAGTAAGGGAGTAACTTCAGTAAGGTCACAGATAGGCTGAGAAAAGTCACAGCCCACCAGCACTAATGGGATTGCATGATGAGAACAGTTACCAGGAAATGGTGGGGTTTTTTGCAAATACCCATTTCCTCAGCTTGAGTGAAGATCTGAAAGTGACAGGTTTGGAATATACTTCACAGCACTCTGCACTAACATTTTGGGGAGCAAAATCTTAGATCCTGAGGCAGCTTTTCATTAATCTCTATTTTAAACATAAGAGAATTTGCTTTAATAACAGCTAAATGTTTCTGGGAAAAGACCAGAGGATCCAAACACTCTTCTTTTTTTTAAAGTAAGCTCAGTAGTATTTTTAAAACAGATACAAAACAGAGACAAAAGAATTGCCTGGGATCTGTAGTGAGACAGAAAACCAGCCAGGAATAATCCTGACTCTCTGCAGGGAACAATTCCTGACTTTGGCTCTCATCCAGCCAAGCAGTTAAATTGCTTATTATACCAGCACATACCAGAATAATTGACTTCACTAAGGTGGGTGTGTGCTTGTGTGCTTCTCCCTCTGGGAAATAATTTTAGGAGTTAACAAATAAAAACAGAATGAAGGTGCCTTTCCTGAGATGACCCATACCTTTCAAGAAACCACCTTGCTTTGCTCCAAGACAGGGCAGGATCAGAACTTCAGCATAACTTGATGGAGAGGAGCAGGGTCCGGCGTGTCTGTGCTCCCTCCTGTTGTCATTTAACATCAGTTTCATTGGCTAGAGTGAGGCAAGATTGTTCAGCCCTCAAATTTCACAAGGCTTAATTCAGAGTCAGATTCCCCTGGTTGGATGATGAATGGGTGGCACTGAAAACAGCAGCTCTGCATTATCCTTACGGGCCACTCTAATAACTCAGTGCTAGAAGAAACTGTTGGCAAGTGCTGGAAAATGTGAAGCCACTGGTTGTCTTTTGCCCTTCAGCAGTGTTTTGAGAGTGCCTTAATCCTGCTGGCAGGTGTTTTAACCTATTAAGTATTAAATAACTGTTTACTTAACCAATAACTTATGGAAAAACTGATGTTTTGTTCTTCAGCACCATCAGCCCAAACAAAGTGTCCCTGTGGGTGCTGCTTGCCGGGTGGTGGGAGCTGCTGCTCACAGTGGGCTGTTGTGGGGAGAGAAAGCAAGCATTGTGCTGCTGGACAAAGGAGCACAGGCAGGAGAAAAGGTTCACAAAGGGTGCCATGAATTTTTGGGTTGCATATGCATCAGACTGTGCCTACCAGCACACCCCTATGGGCTGTGGTGGCTGTGAAGTGGTGTGACCGCTGCTCACTCTTCCAGGACTCCAAAAGGGACCAAAAGGAGGAGGGAGCAGCTGAAAACAACACATGGGAGATGCTCATTTTAACATTTGCATGGCCAGAAAATGTCCTTTTGCTAAAGTTTAGGTATGTTAAATTTGGCCCTGCAGAGAACTGTTTTCCCTGCCCTGCCCACCACATTCACAGCCACAAAGATGTTATTTCCTGTAGGTGTTTGGGAGCTCCAGGTGTTGCCTCCTGCCTGGCACAAGGGGCATTTTGTGAGTTGGTAAGGTTAGTAATGTCTTCTCTAGGACTCCATGTCACTAGCTCAGAGCTGTCCTGCTCTCTCCCTCCTGTGCTGACATCAGGGTGGTGGCAGGAGGCAGCTCCTGTGTCTGCACAGGGCACTGTGTCCCAGGAGTGGGAGCATCACTCCTCCAGAGGTGCAGGAGATAGTGGTAGGAGATAGTGGTCTGGCAGCTGGCTCTGGTGGTGTCCTGTACTGCTGGCCAACGAGCTGCAGCTCTGGAGCTTGAAATGCCTCCTGTGTTCAGTGCCATCTCCATCTGGAGCAGACACTATGTGCTTGTGGTGAGGTTTGGTGACGAGCTCCGTTCTCCAACAAAATGAGGTGGTGCTCCCTGTTGGTAAATAACTGTCTGAGGTGGGAGGACGATGGATGGGCTTCCATCAGCCTGGATTTTCACTTTTTGCCTGACATTGCACATGAAAATGTCCTTAGTTTTTCCAAGACATCCTTGTTGCCTGTTGCTGTTTGCTCAGGATGCCTTCCTGGAGCATCTTCTGGCACATGAGCAGGAGCAACAGGAGTTGAACTTTCTTCCTGGGTGGTCTGGAAGTGAATGTGTGACCTGAGAGCATTGTCAGGTGGATGTGGATGTAATCATCACTAGATTTTTCAGAACGGATCCCTTTGCTTCCTTACAGGATTATGTTGTGTCTTTGTAACAGATCCACGAGGGGTTTCCTTGGTTAGCACCCAGAGCCTTGCCAGAGAAAGGACCCTTGGTGGGTGGTTTTCCATAAAGCCACATTGTTCTTCTAGAATGACGTGGGCTTAATGAAACCTAAAAAGGGTTTTTTTCACAGCTTAAGTAGAGTCAGAGGTTTTTTATAGCTGTGGTAACCCGTTTCATCTTGCTTCTTGCACAGAATAATGCTAATAAAAGAAAGATCAGCCTTTCTTAGTCCCAGCCATGCTTTCAGATGAGAGACCTTTGGAAATTTATTCAAATATAAATGGCAACATATGGTTTTATGTGGTGGGATTTGATTTCAGCATTCGTCTTGGATGCTGGCCAATCTTCAGGCTGCAGGCTTCATCTCCAGTTTCACTCTCTTTAATCTTCCAGGATAAATTATATCATTCCCTGAAAGTCAGCTCGCTGTCTCTTGCAGGGCACATGTTCCCAGCACTGACTCATCTGATGATAGTGTGAAACACTCACCAGCAGCCACCAAAAGCCACAGGTTGTTGTTGCTTTTCCTCTTGCTATCAGCTGCTGTATCCCACCCAGCCCGGGTGCTTGTGTCCCAGGGCTGGCAATCCTCTGCCAGAGCTCTGTCACTTCGGGTTGCTCCCTAATTTAATTAGTCAGCCATTAAGGGCTTGTAGTTGTTTATGTCAGTTCTTCTCATCCATGTGGAACAGTTTGCATTACATTTCCCAGAAATCAATCCCTCTGGCTGTTATTGTGGAGTGGCCCTGTGCACCATGGTTATGGTTGTTTCCCCAATACGTGGTTTTGTTCCGATCGGCTCCATTTTTTTTCTGAAGTGGGTACAAGAGAGACACGATTGTTTTGGATCTCAAGAGTTGTAGATGAACCTGCTCTTCCCTTTTGTTATGTTGACTCTTAACTGTTCTGTGGGGAGGGGAGCTGTGTGGAGAGTGCTGGAGGAGTTTGCAGTTGGTTGAACTTAAAAACCATCCCGTTTCCTGTAGCAGGGAAAGAATGGCTTGGGATAATAAGGAAGGGACGAGTGCATCTGAGCAGCCTGTGATGCAAGAGAAGGAGAGGGTTCCTCGGGTTTGCTTTGAGCAGGGCTTGGATCAGGCCCAGTGAAAGCCTCCAAAATCAAGTTATACCAGCAGGCAGCTGCTGCCTTTGATCCTTGCGGTGCCAGCAGGTTCCTGAAACTCGGCCAGATTCTGGTTTTCTCCTGGGCTTTTCCTGATGGCCGCTGGCCTCTTCTCAGTGTTCTGTCTCTTTTCCTCCTGAAGGACGTGTTGCTCCTGCACGGAAGTGGATGTACCCTAGGAGGGACACCCCCCCTTTTCAATGCTCACCCCCTTGCTCTTCAGTGCACACTTGTGAAACCAGGGCAGTCATGCCAGAGTGCTCGGGGTGATCTCCCCCTTTTCCCAAGGGTGCTCCTGGCCATTTTGGGTTTCAGTTTGGCCATTTGGGTGGCTTTGCAGAGCCCAAAGCTCTTCAGCCACCCTCTGCAAAGCAGATGTGCTGGGAGGCTGGGGCAGGGGCTGACAGTGTTTGTTGGAGCTGCCCTGACTGTGAGCAGTGCGTGCACGGCGCTTGGGCTTCCATCTCCCAGCAAGGCACTTCCTGAGGCTGCAGGGAGGCTGGCTGAGGGTTGCTCCTGGAGAACAGCCCCCAGGAGAGTGCAGATTTCCAGCCTGATGCTGAATGGCAGTGGCTCTCCAAACCCAGCTGTCCTTCCTCTGTCCCGGGGACCCCACCTCTGCTAAAGCAGAGAGGCCAGACCTGCTTCGCCCCTTGCACCACCACGCAGTATCAAGGAGACTTTGCTCCCTCCAAGGGTGGGTCTGTCTCAGCTCTGTTTCAGTCTGGCTTAGACTTTAATGATGTGTGTTCTGTGGGCCTGGTGGAGCAGCCCATCTAAAAGCATTTAATGCTTCCAAACCACTTGCATGGCACAGGCTGTAAGGAGAGCCAAGTCCTTTGAGTTTAACATCATGATAAATTGCTTGATCAGCAAGTGTTCTCTGTTTTTCACAAGGGTCTGTGCTTTGGTGTTCAGGTGTCTTTATTCTACCCTGGAAGTCTGTAGGGTTCAACTGGAAACACTGAACATCCCTGCCTGCCTGAGGCTCTGCCAGTGGGGAGTGCTGAGCCTGCACCAGGCCCATTAGTTGCAACCTGTGGGATTGTGGCCATGAATATTGGTGGTGTTGTTATCAAATAGTTCATCATAACCAGTGTCCCCCTTCTCTCACATAGATCCAGTGGCAGAATTCCCATTGACGTCAGGTACTGACCACAAAAATCCAAATACTAACCCAAGTGCTAACTAATTTTGGTTCAGAATGGCAGAAGATGTGTCAAACACACCACAAGGACATTTTATTCAGTCACAACAGACAGCAGAAGGCATGGTGAGAGGTCACCTGGGTGCAGGCATGGTGAGGGGTGCACCTCCCAGGCCTCTCCTCTGCTCCCTTTCCCTGTCCAGCTTACTGAATGCTGTGTGATTTTGTTGTGGATTGCTCTGAAGGGCTTCTATGCTGAGAGACGTAGGACCGAGCCAGAGAAACTAGTGAGAAGTAGTAAGATTTAAACAATATCTTGAGACCTGCTTCATCTTTAATCCTGTTTCTCCCTCAAGTTGCTTGTGTTTCCTGCCAGCAGCCCTGTGTTCCAGCTCTGTAATTCTGACCAGCTGATGGTTATGCTGATGTATTTCACTCCTCGTTTAGCCGGTGATAATTTTCTGTTTTTTCCTCCCTGTAATTTGCTCTTCCTCCTAATTACATTCTACCCCAGTGGAAAGCCAGTTCTGCAGTGGGAGAGTGGCCGAGTCTTCCTGTGGCAGAGCCTGGCACAGCCCTGTGGCCTCTGCCTGTACCACCAGTGGCTGTGATGAAGCTTTAGGGCAAAAAGAGATGCAAAGAAGCACGTTATCATTGTACCTGGCCCCTTAGTGCAGGTGTCACAGATGATTATTCAGCTGGATTGGTCGTGAAGAAGAATATTTTTCACAGGAGAGGAAGCCTGGATGGAGAGGTTTTGAGTGAGCCAGATGAGGTGCTTTTTGAATGTTTTTGAATGCTCTCTCTTTCAAGCTGTGGTGTGACTGCCTTTTGTAGGTGTGCGGGGAGAAGCAGCGCTTCGAGAAGCTGATGGAGCACTTCCGAAACGAGGACAACAACATAGACTTCATGGTGAGTGCTGCTCTGCATCAGCCAACCTCGGTTTCAGGGTTCACTGGGTCTGGTCCTGCAGTCTCAGGCAGAGATGTATCTGCCCTCTGATCCTTGTCCTGCAGTCACCACAAAATGGCTCTAGAATATTCCCAACTACATCGTGTGCGTTTCACTTGTAGCGTCCGTTCCGTTCAGTTCTCTGCAGCAAAGGCCTTGTCCCACGGTGAAGGTAAGAGGGAAGTGGCCTTTTGGTGGTGTGTGCTGTTCCTCTGCAGCAAAGCAGCAGCTTCTGCACCACCAAGCTGCCTGTTCTGTCCCTGTGCCAACATCCTCCAAGCCACAGACAGGGAAGTGTGGGAGAGACTCACTGCAGCTGCTGTCTGGCCTTATCTGCTGATAAATATAGCAGTAGTCTGCACCACTTTTGGTTCCTCAGCGTGCATATGCATGATTATTCACCAAATCCACTTCCCCTGGAGCACAAGAAGGGCGAGGAGGAAGCTCTGGCTGGCACCCACAGGCACCAGTGCCAGCTTGCACCTTGGCAGCACCTGGAAGGCAGTGGCCTGGCAGTGGGGATGAGCTGGCTGATTGATGGTGTGTCTGACAGCAGAAATACCTGTATGGCAAGTGAGTGCTCGTGTCAGAAGTGTGAGAAGTTTGGGGCCTGTTTGTAATCAGAAAGCATGCTGGCATGGTGAGTGTGTCTCCCTTGCAGGGCTCAAGCTCAGTGCCTTGACCCTGCTCCTGTTCTGGGCTGGGAGCAGAGCAGGAGGGCTTTCCACCCAGTCACTGGCCTGTCTGTTGGGGCCTCTCTTAAGCATCCCTGGCATTTTATACTGGTTTAGTACTTTGTGTTAAGGACCTCTTTCTGCCAGGACTTGGGTGCTGAAGCACCCAGTGTGGTGTTTCCTACAGGCTTTGAACACTCTGGTGCCAGTGGCTTTCAGCCCTGCTGGCCAGGAGAGGCTCACACCCCTGAGGGGACAGCAGGATAAAAAGGAGTGAGAAGGGATGGCCTCTCCCTTGCACTGAAAATGGAAAAAAGAAGTTACAGTGATCCCTGCAGTTTCACTCAAGTTAGCAAGCTGCTCTCAGTCACCCTCTGACATCTTACAGCTGGCTTTGTTCCTTATTGCTGCAGTCCCAGGAAGGATGTGTTGGTATCAGAGTATTTTTGGATGTCCATAAGATTGAGTCTGTAGTTGAACAGAAGGACTTGTCAGTTGCCAACACCTGACCCGAAGTAATTTTCCCTGTGCTGACAGGGAGGGGTAAATGGGACCTGGGGAGCAGGAGACCAGCAGAACTCAGTGCAGCAGCCTGTGCAGACAGGCACTGTGCTGTGAGCTGTGGGATTTGTCCACTCTTTAAAAAAAAAAAAAAAAAAGAAGAAATATCATCCCTCATCTGTGTTTAAGGTGCAAAAGAAACCCCCTGGTGCTGCAGGAACCTGTGGGTTGCTGGCTGTGCCCTTCCCACAGGATGGGGTAAAGCCAGGGCTGGAGCCCGAGCTCCAGGGTGTCATGTTAAAGCTCAAGTAATTCAAGGAGTTGCAGTGACTGAACATAAACAAAGAGCTGTTCCTGCAGGACCTGGCTTTCACACTGCCCGAAATGGAGAAGGCAAGAGCTGTTGGGAAGCTGGAGCTGCAGTTAATTGCACGGATTGACAGGGAGGAGAGAGCAACAAAAAGGCAGAAGTGTTTTAGAGAAGGTCTCTGTTGTTGACATTGACTTACTTCACTTTAAAAGCAACTTTCTTAGATTAGTTTTCTTTGACTTGATAAATTCCTTAGTTGTGTATGTAAGGATCTGAGAAAGGAAATGTGAATTTGGCCCTAAGGTTGTGACAGCCAAAGCAAGTACAACAAAAGCCCTTTTGAAGGAGAAGAATTTGGCTCTGGGTGGTGGGACAAGCCAGCAGGGTTCAGCTGGTGAAGGCCAGACTAGCACTAGGAGGAACCAAGGTTGCTGCAAAGGGAACTGGAAAGGGTCCTGCAAAGACTCAAAACATGGAGTCAAGTTTCCAGCTGCATGGATCGGGTTGTTTCTGGAAGAGATTTGTGGGGATGAGGCATCACAGGAGGCCCTGGAGGAGCCTTGAGGCCATCTTCCTTCCTCTCTTCCTTGTGCTTCTCCCTTTTAGCAGTCTCACAACTTTACATTGTCTGGAGTTAAAGTGGTTTTGGAAATAAGAGTGGTTAAAGCTGGTCAGGATCTACATGAGAAGAGGTAGCTGCAAGGTTTTGACTGACCTTTGTTTAACCATTTTGGCTTCTTGTGTCCCTGCGGTCCCAGCTCCAAAGCTGGGCAGCACCAGGCACTTCAAGCAGGACAGTTTTCATGGCAGCTCAGTGGCTGCTGGGAGCTCTGGCTGGGAAGAGCAGCCCCAGGACATCCTGGCCAGACCTGTAGTCAAAGGCCACCATGCAGCAGATGCCCAAGAGTTTATCCTCTGGGCTTTACAGCAGATGACAGAGAATTGGCCAATTTCTGGCAGCAATCTGGTGATCCAGAGGAATGGCCTTCAGTTCTTCCTTCCCACAACATGGCCCAGAGACCTGGGGTCTCCCGATGGCTTGTCCTGCAGGTAGAATCAGGTTGCTTCTGTTTTGTGTCCTCAGGTTCATCCTAGAAGTCTAGGAAGTATCTCAGTAGATGCTGAGAAGCTGGTATTGCCCCTTGCTGCAACATTGCTGGCAAAATGGGGTGATTTATGCCCATGAAAACCCAGCAACGAGTAGGCAAACTCTTGCCTAAAGCAGGTCAGAGTGTGACAGACGTGGTCATCTGAGCTGAGAGAGGGCTGGGGCTGCTGCTGCAGAGCAGGATTTGGCCATTTTTTTTTCATTGCAGGAAAGCACAAAGCTTTGGGGTTTGCACCCAGGTCCTGCTGCTCTGCAGGAGGTTTCCCTGGCTGCTCTTTCTGCCTGTGACCACTTCCCCTTTGGTCCTCTGCCCTTGGATGCGTGTGGATGCCAACTCCCATGGCCTGGTCCCCTGCTCAGTTACCAAACCCCAGCTTTGGAAACACCACTTTCTGCACACAACAACAAAAGCACCTTTTGTGAAAGCCCCGTTTTCCCGCACTGGGGGCTCCAGTTGCAGAACCAGCCTCACTTTTACAGGCCGTTGCAGAAAGGACAATTGTTTTCTTAAGAGCTTGTGTGATGTCTGGCCCCGTGAGCTGGCGTGGAAAGCATCCCCCAGCAGGCAGTAAAGGTAGACTCTGCAGACATGACTCAATTTCTGGAACCCGTCTTTGCCTTTATCACAGCAGACAAACACCCTGTAAGCCTGAGTCCAGGACTGGCTTGGAAAAGAACAGCAGGTCACAGTTTCCCCTTGGAGTCGTGGCAAAGAAATGTGGTCATCCACTGTGTTGGACCCAGGAGAGCCCGCTCTTGCTCTGCTGTTGCCTCTGCTGTTGCCTCCTCTCACGTCCAGGTTGTCCTTGCAGGTGGCCTGCATGCAGTTCATCAACATCGTGGTCCACTCGGTGGAGGACATGAACTTCAGAGTCCACCTGCAGTATGAATTTACAAAGCTTGGCCTGGATGAGTACTTGGATGTGAGTATGGAGCGTGTCCAGGGAAGGGCAGTGGGGCTGGGGAAGGGGCTGGAGCACAAGTGTGAGCAGGAGCAGCTGAGGGAGCTGGGGGTGTCCAGCCTGGAGACAAGGAGCTGAGGGGAGACCTTCTGGCTCTGCAGCTGCTGAGAGGAGGTTGGAGCCAGGGGGGTCGGGCTCTGCTCCCCAGGAACAAGGGCTGGGACAAGGAAATGGCCTCAGGTTGTGCCAGGGGAGGTTTAGATTGAATCTTGAGCACAATTCCTTCCCCAAGGGCTGTCAGGCCCTGGCCCAGGCTGCCCAGGGCAGGGTCCCCATCCCTGGAGGGGTTTCCAAGCCCTGTAGATGGTGCTGAGGGACACGGGGCAGGGGTGGCCTGGGCAGGGCTGGCTTTATGGCTGCACTTGATCTTAAAGGCTTTTCCTATCAAAACAATTCTGTGATCCTATGACCTGTTCCTCCACAGCTCACTGCTCCCCCAGCAGGGCTGACCTCAGCAGGGGGGTGCAGGCTGGGCCCTGGAGGGTCCACACCACATCTCCCAGTGCCACCACTGCCCAGCCTGGTTGAAACCTCCTTAAACTCCCTCTCTCTGGGGCGGGCAGAGCTGAGTTGTCCCATGGTCTCTGCTGAAAGGGCAGTGCCCTGGCTGGGGGCTGTGTCCTGGAGCCACCCCTGCAGAAGCAGACTCAGCTGCAAGGGGCTGCAATTACAGACGGGAGCTTAATTGGTAGCTTTGCCTGATGACAAAGGGAGGATGAACCGCAGAGCTCCTCACCCGCGCCACGTCCCGGAGCTCCAGCTGCCACCAGGGTTCCCTCCACCTCCCTGTGAAAGAACCCTCCTTGGAGCTTTCTCCTGGCAGCCTGTGGGAAGCACTCTCTTGAAGGAGAATGCTGCTTTTTGGGTTCCCCTTCTGCATTTCTCTCTCTCTCTCCCTGTCCCTGCCCTTGGGAGCGCACACAGAGCTGGGCTTGAGGAGGGATTGGTTTGTCCCTGCAGATTCCTGCTCAGCAGTCACCAGGAGAGAGGATTTTTGCTGCCTGCAGGAAGTATTTGTACATGGGGGTGCCAAGCTGCATGTCTGTTTGGGGTCCCATGGTTGACCCTGCAGTCCATGAGGAGCAGGCAGAGCAGCTCAGAGCATGCTCTGATGTTATCTCTGGAGATAAAGCTTGCTTGTTCTGAGCACAGCAAACCCAGAGCAAGGTCAGTGAGAGCAAGCAGACGATCTTCTCTGGGCCATGTAGCTGCTTTGAACCCAAACACATGTAATGGCCTCACCTCTGCCTGCTGGCCACCATGGGCACAGCAAGGTCTGCCCCACCAGCCACCATCCCAGGGCTGGG